CCTGGCAACGCTTCCTCCCAGACACTCTGCGCGCGAGCCGTAAGGAGAAACTCAAACACTGCGCGCCTTTTCAATGCTCGTTTTATCATCAGACACTCCACGTACGTAAACACTGACTCTGATGGTTGTACCGTAACCGCTGCGCATGTTGGTAATGAGGGAAGATGTCTCATTGTTTAACTTATTTTTCTGTCTAGAAACAAATGGATATTTCCGAATAACAAACAATCTACACTTCATTTAACGTTCTGTAACAGTTATTCTTAGCATGCATCATAATGCTAAACATAATAATGAATTCCTTCAAACCATAAATAATTAGATAATAGTAACAAATTAATAATGGTAATTTAACAATAGAAATGCTTTACATCATTTTCGTAAAATATCCTAATAAAATTTGTCAGAAAACTATGAGTAAACCGAAAATAGGAATTTTATGTTAACAATAATATAAAGTCCAGATAGACGAGATTACGGCAGTAGCGCCGTTGCAATCAGAACAGAAAGATTGCGGGTTCGAGTCCCGCCTCGGCCATGGTTGTATTTGTGTTCGTCCCATCACCTAACACCATATCACATCATATTGTTTACCATATCGTTAAACTATAGTGGTCGTTAATAACATAGCTGTTGATGCGGCCTTTAAAAAAATTCAAACAAAAATGTTTGTTAAGCTTTAGAAGCCGTAACGCTTACCTAACCATTTTAAAGGTCTTAAAATTCATCTGTGTAAATAATAATCAATAACATAATATTAATAAACACAGACGTCAGTCAGTAATAAAGAACATAATCTCATTACATAAACTGGAGGATGTCAGATCTCCAAAGGCGTAAACTTAAAACTTTTACAAAGAAGGTAACTCGCTATTGTTCATCGTATTGGAGAAACACGTTCTTAACTTCAGACGTGCTATCTTTAAATTTATTTAAGATCCAAAATAGCTACAAGAATTCACAAAATGAAAAATATAAAAACATTGAAATTAATATCGAGTCAACTCCTTGTATTAAAATTGATTTTGAACTTCAATTTAGCACCATTATTATTTATGTACCGATTTTTACAATATAAATGTGTAGTCGCTAAAAAAACAGCAGTTAATGCGACATTCATTTATGAAAAATTGACTGTTGATTGGCAGTATTTATGTGGCTTGTCTTAGATCGTATCATGGCAGCCAAGAAACTAAAAGGACAAGTTTCTATATATGCACGCATTAATTCTCAGTAATAAAGAAATCTAATATACACACATGTGTGTGTAATTTGTACATCTATGTGCGTGTGTGTGAATGAGCGATCTTTTGTGTTGTACGTACGAGTTGCGTGTAACGTGTTTTGTAAAGAATACATCCCTTGATGAAAACATTACACATTTGTTGCTGGAGAGATTGTATCGTATATGTACTTGCGTAATATTTACAACCTCGAGTATTAAATGGAAACTTAATTACCCGAGAGCACGGCTTGACTATTGCCAAATGTTCAGAATTCAAAATCGATTTATCACATTCTACGTCACAAACTGTAATTATGACCTCCCCACCACTATGAATCTGCCAGGCACTTTCCTTCTTATTTCTACTTTCTGTCTATATATCATTGTCTCTCAACTACTGTGCATCTGCATTTCATTATCTTTATCGCCCTCCTCTCTCCCTCTCCCTCTCTCTCCCTCTCCCTCTCTCCCTCCCTCTCACTCCATCTCTCTTTCCCTCTCTCTCCCTCTTTCTTTCCCTCTCTCTCCCTCTCTCTCCCTCTTTCTCCCTCTTTCTCCCTCTCTCTCTCCCTCTTTCTCCCTCTTTCTCCCTCTCTCTCCCTCTCTCTCCCTCTCTCTCCCTCTTTCTTTCCCTCTTTCTTTCCCTCTCTCTCCCTCTCTCTCCCCCTCTCTCTCTCTGTAGGTATCTAAATGACTCTCTCGTCTAAATCTCTCTCCCATGATCTGAGACCTAGACCAATGTAAATGAACAATTTTGCAGCTTTCATCACAATAAGAAACATAGAAGAGTAATGAAGCGAATGGAAGGTACGCCACTTACACAATTAATAAAATTATAATGTCAGATTTAATAAAACTACGGCAGCTCTAAGATCTTTTCATTTTACAACAATTACTTAATATAGTAATGAACTATGTGAAAGTAACAGCTGTTAAGGTAAGTGTATAATGAAACAAGGAAAACAAAAGTAAGTGAAAAGTAATATTGGAATGACTTTCTATTTTTAAGGCAGACGCAGTGCGAGGGAGTATAAATGTCGACATTTGATACAAAATCGGAGGAACCATATATTTATTTTAAGTTCTCATTCTCTCTTTCGCGACCTCATCGCATCGTTCTTTCCGTCATTTCTGTCTCCGTTGCCTCCTTCCATTTCTGTTACTCCGCCTCGGCGCCTGCTTCTGCATCGGTCTCTCTACGTCGCTGCCTCTCTCTGCTCCTGACGGTCTCCCTCACTGACTCGCTCCACTTTCCTCTGGCAATCTCCTCATGACTGCCTGATATATAAGTGTTTTCAGGAATATCAATTGTTCAAGTCAATGTTCCAGTATGTTTAGTGCATTTTTTTCGCAGGAGGTGATGGTGATCTACCCCCAATAGATGGCTCCGCCCCACCCACACGTTGACTTATGGCGTTTTCTCCCATCAGCATGGCACCATTCCAGCTGGGCCAAGCCCCAAATTGCCGACTTGTCGCCTGGTATGTTTATCAGCGAAGTGAATGTGAGAGAATGGTGTGTGAGTATGAAGTAAGGATAGGACAAGGAAGAGGCAGGAAAAGTCATGCACGGTTGTTGCCCCATTTGTTACGGTATTCGCCTGGTGTTTATGGGAGAAAACACGGGAACCACAGCAGTTGGCTGTTGTCTGCTTCAGACACCGCCTGTATTCTACTTAGCTTGCATCTCGTGTGTTAAAATTCCGGCCACCGTCGGGAACCCCGTCCTAAGACCTCCTGGGCTAAGACAGAAGCAGTGACATCAACCTCCTAAGCCTTTCATTCCCTCCGCCCCTCTTCCCTCTCCTCCCCCTCCGCTCTCGTCCTTCGCTCTCCACCCTCCTCTCTTCCACCTCCTCTTTCCACCCTCTTTCACCGCCTCTTCCCTTCCTCCTTCCACCGTCCTCTCCACCCCGCCCTCCTCTTCCACCCTCCGCCCCTCCCCCACGCGGGCACAGCGGGTCCGGCGGTGCCGAGCTACCGTGTCGGGGGAGTTTATTTCCCTGCGCACTTGGCATTTCCCCTGCGCACGGCGTTCGGACTACACATGAAACGCACGGCGACCCCTCGGCCCGTTTCACCTCACTTCGCCCGGTCCGCCATCCCTGCCCCTCGCTCTCGCGGGCCGGTACTTAAAATTCACTGGCCACACCTGGAGAACAGGTGAGACTCGCGGGTCAGCATCCTGTAGGTCCTAGGTTCGAGCTCTCAAGGCGTCGTAAGCAAACTAACTAGTGATGAAAGCAGATGCACTTTAGAAGACAGTTGTAGAGTCGGTTGCTGTTTTCGGTCTTCCTTGTAATCATCCTGGGCAGAAGCAGTATGAATCAGTGGGTCAGGAGTCGGAGAGGACACTGAACTTTTTATGGTCTACATGACTTTGTAGCATTGGTATCTACCGTAGGACGACATCTCAACATTACCCGAAGTTACCTAAAAGAATTCTCATATTTTCCCTCAAGAAGACCTCAAGATTGACCAACCTTGAACGTTTGGTAGCACTGGGTAGGGTCAAGGTCTCCTGAAAACCCTGTGATGATTAAGTTGTACAAAACGGCAACAACATTTAAACTACATAATTGAAAACTGGAGAGACCGAATATCCTATAGCATTAAAAGAATCCAATCTCAATATTTTTTAATATTCAAATATAATATTCGTCAAGCCAAAATGTTTATGCACATTCCGCCTCTATTTCTTACATAACACGCAATGGAGAACCTTTTGTCATTTGTTCCTGTGACCTTGGTGATATGTTAGAGAGAAAGAATGAGAGAGAAGGGAGAAAGAAAAAGGAGAAGAAGGAAGAGAGAGAAAGGGAGAGAGAGAAAGGGAGAGAGAGAAAGCGGAGAGAGAGAAGGGAGAGAGAGAAAGGGAGAGAGAGAAACGGAGAGAAGGAGAATGGGAGAGAGAAGAAAGGAGAGAGAGAAAGGGGGAGAGGAAAGGAGAGAGAGAGAAAGAGAGATAGGATAGAAAAAACACAGAGGGAATAGAAAAAAGAAAGAGAGAGAGAGAGACGGAGAGGTCAACATGACAATCGCTCCTCCTGAGCTTTTCGAGGAGACAGCGCGCGCATTAGAAATCTCCGCGGCCGCGCCACGTATTCTGTGTCCAGCCTCAACAGCTGGAGCGCGGGCAGCTAATTGGCCGTACATCGCGCCGAGGAAAGTGTTGTAACTGCTTAACGGACGGTGAAAGAGGGGCAACAACGCCTATCGCCTAATACGCAGTCTAATACATCTCGCGCGCAGGCCTGCACGGTGGGCCATGATAAGTTGTGACCCCTCTTGACTCGTGAATTATCCAAACACAACCAAGTAACGCTAAGATCCCCTAACTAAGACACAGCTCACATCTACCGTATTTATTTTTACTCATTCACAATTGTTCTATCTTTTATTATTGGGCATATATATCCTTCATTCTCTTTTCATTCCGTAATTCATTCTCTTTTATTTTTTGATTGGCGTTGAACAAACGATTCTTTAGGAATTTATTATTGACAATAAAGATTTTCGACAGGTTTTTCCAGAGACCCCCGTCCTCCTACTTTTTTCACCCTCCATGTATCTTCATCATTGACATCACTATTATAATCACTACCCCATTGCGGTTATAATTCATTCACTCCAAATTCGATTATAAACATTAGGAATTGGAATTATAGGAATTTAATACATCGGAGTTCTTAATTCCATCACAAGTTTCAACTTCCTTTGTAGCTTTAAATTTTGAATTGTCAGTTGTTTAGAAAAGTTATAAGAAAGTTTCTCTGCGATGCAGATGATTCACAAACCTATTCACTAGCGTGAATAAGCTGTTAATTGATAAAATCTGTATTTCTGCGAGAGCAATATATCTTGTTACCCTGTGGTTGATCTAATCTTCTAGTGTGAAAAATCAGACTACTTGACATATTTGACGTTAATACATTTTCTTAAATTATTGCCACAGGGTGAATAATTAGGCAGATCTACTTACCCAGTTATATATTTATGATTTTACAAAGTTTACGTCATGATCGTAAACAAACGTGGGGCCATTACTGAGCAAACAGAAGGATCTTTTGTATTAGTTGATTACCACAAATGTAGATAATTTTTACAAGAATCGATTAATATTTCCAGCAAAACTTTGACTTTCCAATTTATTCATCTGGATTTAAGATATAAACATTTTGTAATAGGTATAAAGTACTATATGAATACATACATTTCTTAAAAAAGGTGCTATACGAAAACGATTTTGGTAATATGACGTACAGTATCCTATCCACTGCCAAGGAACAAATTTCAAACCGCAATATTTTCAGCGAGACTAACCATAGAGTGTTGTCTTATTAGTCTGGCAGGTAATTGCTTCTTCACGCTGACGAAAGAAAGTGTTATACCGCCGCCAGTCAACGAAATAGGGCGCAACAGATTCGCTCGCCCCTGCGGTGTGTTTTCTATGGAAGTGTGTCTAGAGAAGATAGAAGAAATGTAGTGTTCCCTTATCCAGCATTGCATCGAAGTACTCAGAAGTCGTTAAGAAGGCTGAATGTATCTGATTAAGTAAGAGTATTACACTTTGATTTATAATATGTAATCACGATTCTATGCATCTATTACAATCTGTAAAATTGTTTAGTTATATTATACCAAGTACATATCCGATCGACGCCATTAAAAGAAAAGAAAGTACAGCACATAGAGTAGTATTCTGTAGCAAATAATTGGTCCTGCGCCTCAGAGATGAAAGTAGTGTACTGCAGATGGCCAGTGAAATAGAGTGCAACACATTTGCCCGCAATTGTGGAAAATTTTTAATGGAAATTCTCACAGAGCGAAAATTAGAGAAACGCAATGAATGTGTATTTTGGTCCAATGCTTCTTTACACTTCGCTCGACCACGATAATTTGTAATATACACAACAGCTTTGAAGTAAGAAATTATTAAATGAGAAAAAGTAATAAGATGAGCATTGACTCAAATGCGCTGAAAATACATGTATTTTAATTTTTGAATTCACTAGCTTAGTGCAACGCAACTACCAGTTATTTTCATATTTTTTCTTATACGTTCACAATAAAAATAAAATGTAAACATAATGCAGTTGCAGGGCTTGCACATTCTATGGCGTACACAGATGCATGAAAACCATCGATATTGTAGGTGTGTGTGTGTGTGTAAAACATTTTTTTGCTTGAAGAAACACTTCCAGTTCGGTAAGTATTTTCCTCTTTTTTTCAGAGCGTAATAGGGCACCTTCTTTGTAGGAAATGAGCACAGTTTTACCAGCATTCTATAAGCGGAAGGCAGTAGAAAACTTTAAGAATAGGTACTTGTGCTGACGTTATAGCCACCTATTTCCACACGTCGACAATTTTAACACTACACCTCGCCTGCAGCCACACGCGTGGAGTGCCATTACGAAGGTTGACAGGTCTTTAGTTCCTAGCATCTTTCAAGCTGCAAGTAAAAAGGGGAGTTTCTTTCAACAAAGAAAAGTATTATAATAAAGTATCTAATATTTTCTGGCATAACGTTGTGTTTAAAAAAAATATACCAGTACATTATAACATTTTTTTCTGACCTGGCAGTGTAATGTTGGGAAGATTTTTCAGATGAAGTTTGTCAGACAATCAAATAATTTTTGAAATCCTTGAACCAACGAACGTCTTTCGTGAAAAACGCTGTTTAATCTTTTAATATATTGAACTGAATAAAATCAAATTTTCGTAGCTGAACATCTTTTTCCGCACTCTCACTTACAACTTACACGCGTGCTGGGCATTTGCAAAACATTACATATTCCTTACAATCTCATAAATCATCGC